GAAAGCTACTTTATGAGGACTTTAATGTGTTTTTCCCTTCAACTGTGCCTTAGGCGATCCACAGCCAAGAGTCTATCGGAAATACCAATGAGCTATACAGACCAAGAGTTTACTGCGGTATTTGTGTTCTTTTATATTTTCAAAATTATGTACATAGTTGGAAAGTGACAAAATGTCAGAACACTTCTAAAAAAATAGGCATTTAGCTATAAATAAATAAATAAAAAAACATACCACTGACCTTACACTTGGGCAGAAGTCCTAGACTGAAAACAAAATGACAAGCAAACAAAATGAACCAATGTGCTCTTCATACCGACAAAACAAATTGTGTTATTATCTAAGCTTGTTATTTTAAACTAATGAGCTTAGCCAAATATTCCATTCTTCATGAGAAAAAAACAACTAATGTGGTCAGACCAGTGTGAAGCTATCTATATCCCTACAGCAATGTTTGTTGTTTGTTTAATAGAATCATTTAAATTCTTTTTTTATCAGGAATTAAACAAGGGCATATTTCCTCACATCGTTTTGTATGGCCCTCACAATAATGAAACTGTGAGGATGGGTAATTGCACAAGCTTTTGAAAAATATATATTTGTTTTTTTGTAGATCTGTATAACGTTTCTTTGTTCTCTCACGAAGGTCAAAATCGACTTGCCAGAAAGGAATACCACAAAGCTGAGTAAATAACACTGTAATGCTTGCAGAATGCAGAGTGATAAGATTTTCATTCAGGGAGTTTAAAAAGTTCAAGAAGCTGCAGGTGAACTGCACTTCAGTGGTTTACTAATACAGTGTATTCATTACTCTGTAAACACAGTCTGTATGACTCTTCCGGCATCATTCACAGGCCGGGAGGCATGTGGGTTAGCAAGGCTAATCGTAATGTAGATTTCTATTGACTTGCCAATTGACGTTAGAGCTGCGTGAATGCAAATGTGTGCTGTGTGGATTGTTTGTAGTGTTAGCTCTTACAGTCAAAGCTTTTCATTTTAAAAGGTCTCAGTGTTGTGGTGACAACAATTGACTGCTAATAAACTGAATTAGCAACTGTATACACAAGTGGATGGAAAATAGGCTGCCTGTATGGCATGTAAAAAAACTGCTTTTTGAGATTGTTCTTTTTTATAATTAACAGAAAGTGGCATTAAAAAGCTTCTTTTGATAATAAAAAGGACAGTGGATCACTTCTGCCACCTAGAGTCTCAGATAGTTAAAGCAGTCATCAAAAGGGCAGCCACCCAGACCATTTCATCAGTCTTTTTAATGTTAAAATACTTCAGCTACTACTTTCATGTACAAAAATAGATTGCAAATTGACTAATTATATTCTGAAAAATCACAACCGTTTTTTTTTTGTTTTTTTTTATTACACTGTATAGGCCTATGACAAGTCATCAGAGCTGTAATCCAATGAAATTCATTTGTGAGATTGTGACAAATTCATAATCATAATCCTCACGCGTTAGATCAACATTTAAAGGTACACTACCTCTTGGCCCTCTAGCGGTTACGTTTTTTTTTTAATTGTTGCATTTTGCGGAAAAACATTATTTTGTTTGTGCTTCGACTCTGCGTGAATGAGCGGATGAATATGGTTATCCTACTCATAAAACATTCTTTAGGCTTCTAGGTTTAAGAGATATAACCAGTTTAGATGGAAATGATCTCAAGCTGACTAGCTAAAGATACTGTAGCTTTACCCATTAATATAAACGGTACTTCCTTGAAAATAAATTCCAGCACAGCGCTACTACAACCATAATAAAATGACCCTTACTATAATGCTTTACAATGCACTCCGTTAAAGAGTTACATATGGCAATTTATCTGTTCAATAAAATACCTTACTCACCTGTCGAGTAATAAAAACCTCTCCAAAAAGCCATGCCATGCTGATTCTCGTTTTATTACGAGCTCTGTAGTTCCTGCGTTTTTTAAACGGTTGATTCCCCGGAGGTTCGAGATTTAGCGTGCTCCATGTCAACCTTTCTCACTTGCGACAAGACGACAACTAATCTCTGATATCCTCCTGAGACCCAGAAAAAAAAAGTTTTTTGAATTTAGTTTTTTTTTTTCCATGTCATCACACTGTTTAGAGCACAATAAACAAATGGTAAAAAAAACATATATATAAAATAATATTTTATTCATACGTTATGCTATGTCCTCTGTAGTGGACGCCAGGACTGCGTTCCAGGCAGGTTTTTGAGCACGTAAATCACGACTTCAAACCACGACTCACGACTTTGTAGCATATTCCAGGCCAGTCACGCCAAACTACCTGAGCGCAATATACATACTTATTTTTTCAGACACATAACATTGTAATACATAATCGTGTGTGTATATACATACTTATTGTTTCAGACACATAACATTGTAATACATAATCTTGTGTGTATTATTATCATTATTATTATTATATTATTATTAATTTGACTGCAACGTTATATTGTCCTAAAGTGTATTCTCACTGTGTACCGCCTGCAGAAACATTGCATCCGTAGGGGCTGCCATTGTTGTTTTGTATGGTTTTGCGGGCTATGTGACGTCAGAACTCGTAACTGGGAGTACATCGATCTAGTACGAGTTCACGGGTGGGAAGTCACGGGTTTGACTGCCGTTCCAGTGCACTTTCACGGGTATGACGCCCGTTTCACACATACTCCGTTTGCAGTGCGTATGCGGTGCGTATTTTTTTCCGTACCCATGTTAACAGGTTAGAGCTTTCACACTGCACGCGGATGCGGTCCGTCGATCCGTTCCAGTTGCGGTGCGTATACAGCAGTGCAGAGATCGTTTCCGCACCGAGTCTATTTCTGCTGTGCTGCAAACGCTGAATTAAAGTGACAGCGCACGGTTCGTGGTCAAAATGAACACAGACTGACCTGAATATGTAGTAATTTCACCATAAATGCATTTAATTCAATAAAATGTAGTAATCTCACCATAAATGTATTTAATTAAATAAAATGTAACCATAAATGCATTTAATTAAATACTACTTTTTTCACAGTCATCTTTTTACTTTAAGACCGGGGTAAAGCAAAGAAAGCTACAATTTACTTCAACAAGGCCACATAATGAACGACACTCGTCTCATTCGTTGAGGTGGAAAAACAAGTTATTTGTGACATGCAAGATTTATTGTATACAGATTTGAATTATGCAAAAGAAAAGGTATGAGTCTGCTGTTTTTGTCAATTTTAAGTTTTAATTTAAAATGTTTGCGATTTTAATATAAGTACATGGTTAAATATGTTACCACTTGCTTGAGCAACTTAATATAGCCTATAATCTAGGCCTATATAAAAGTAATGCATTGAATAATACGTTGTTTAAATTGTGTTTTAAACGTGAATAGGCCTACAAAGAGAATTGCACTGGAGGCAAAAACTTTTGCTGCTGATAACTTGATTTGATTGATGATTTTTTGAAATACAAATAGTGAGTAAATGTGTTTGTGGTACAGCCGCGGATCAGTTGCGCACTGCAAACGCACGCAGCATATGTGAAAGCACTATAGCGCGTGCTGCTCCTGTACCGCATACGCACCGCAACACGCACCGCATACGCACTGCACACGGAGTATGTGTGAAACGGGCGTAAGGTTGGAAAAACACGGGTTACAGGTTGCCTGGAACGCGGCATAAGTTGTTTAAAAAATAAAATGACATGAAATATGTATAGGCAAAACCAATGGGGTTTTTTTTTTCAATCACCAATACATTTTGGGGTTTCAGGATTTTTTCAACCAAAATTTGTATAAAGATTATTCTCAACTATGTTATGAAAGAAATAATGGAATGAATTGATACACCATTTTACTTTTTGCAATATGTGGGTAAAATGGCCATAAGTTAATATTCCCATTCAATGCAATGTATCTATACACTGTATCTAATTTGCACATTAATGTGTTCTTGGAGCAACATTTAATGAAAAAATAAGGGTAATAATTGGAGTAATAATTGGCAACATTTTAATAATAATATCTAATATTTCATAGGAATATTGATGTATAATTTATTTCCATATTCACTTGTTGTGTCTCCCAGAATGCCTGATAAACATGATTTTAGTCCTGATGTCCTCTACAGTGGACACGTTTGAAATCAATTTCCTGTTTTGTAACAGAAAGTAATTTTTTTATTTGAAACCCCTTAACATTTTCCTGAGATGTTGTTTTATGAAATACAATTTGAAAAGTAGTCCAATTTAAATTATAATTACATTATATTATCATATTTCCATAAGAATGCTACATTTGATCACTAAATTAATGTCAGACATTTTTAAAGACCAAGGAGAAGCTGTTTTCATGGTGAAACCTCCAAACATTTGGTATCTCTGAAAAGTCCTGAATGTGCTCTTTACAGGACACCCAGGTTGTGTCATGTGACATGTATGATGTCAGAGAAATTCACTAAAATATAATGTCCACTACAGTGGACAAAAGTCTATTCTTGGGTCCCAGGAGGATATGACGAGACAGGCACTGGTGGTGAGTGATGTATGTACGTAATTTCCCGCGAAAACCATCCCACTAGGTCTAAATATAAAAACTTATAATAGCATCACCACCATAGTGAGCCTATAAGCGTTTTGAAAGACGGACTGATGATATTTAAATTTTGTTCATTTTGAACAAAAGTTTCATATTGTATCTTTAAGTACAATTACTACAGAGTAGCATGTATTTTTTCTTTTTGTCTGCTTTATATTTTTTTAGTTGTAAACATTACTGTTCATGCCAAGAAAAATAAACAAATCAGAATAAAAGACAGCATAATCTTTAATTTATAAGACTTTACAGACAAGATTCACCTTTTTAAAAAAAATCAGTACAAATAAATGACTATAAACTGCAGTAATGTTTATACATTTTATACTAACAGTGGAAAAAAAGAGACCAAAGAAATGTATTAAAATGAAATAAAATATTGTTTGATTAGAAAACAGTAATAAATAAAGTAGCAAAATTCCTCATAAATATGCTAGCTAATAAACATTTAATATAATGTAAAAGCAACAAACAAGATAAAATCTTGGGGCATGAACAGCTTGTTCCAAGAAAAAGAATCATTGCTCATTAAATGAACACTGCATTACATGGTTAAAATGTGAGCCATACATGTCAAGAAACACTATTTGTCCAGCTGTGGAAAATGTACCATTGCAAGTGCTTCGAAGAGTTCAAGTGAAATTTCTATGGAAAAAACAGGTTAAATCGTTTTAAAGACAGGAGGAGCTGTTCTCCACACTATGACACATACCTCTTTTAATGGTTCATTTTTATAATGACACTGGATTGGACATAATCAATTAATACACAACCATTAAAAAAAAATCCAGCCTTAAAATGATTTACCTTGACATTTCCATTTCAGCAAACAACAGAAAAGACCTTCAAAAGGTGCTCCTTGTGATTTCATTGTCCCTGCAGAGAGATAAGAACACATTTTTTGAAGTGTCTGTTTCTTGCACTCGAGTCAATAAACGTCTTCCCGCAGTTCTGACATATGTGAGGTCTCTCTCCCGTGTGGATCCTGACATGTGTGTTCAGGTGGCTGGATTGTCTAAAGTTTTTCCCACAAAAGTTGCAGTGGTAGGGTTTCTCTCCAGAGTGAACTCTCAGATGAATTTTCAGCAGACCCGGTGAGCTGAATCTTCTGCGACACACGACACACAAATACTCTCCTGTACCTGGTGGATTTCCGTGAATGTCTTGATGCGGCGGGTAACTTTCAGACAGTTCCTCTTCATGCTGAACGTCTTCCAAACAAATGTCAGCCAGGTTTGTCTTGGATTCTAAAGAAGAGGCAAAATGACAGTTTTACGTTTATCCTGTGCATCTAAAAGAAAAGAAAAACGCCATATCTGACCAATACTTCTTCAAAATGTCATTATTACATTGATTTTGAATTACTATAGTTAAAATGTCCTTACGCATTTGTTGTTGTTGTTGTTGTTCTTTATCAAGTGCCACTTCTTCAATGTGCCGGATCTTCTTTATTCTGTGCATTTCCTCATTTTCACTCTTATTCCTCTTGTTTCTTTCCCGCTGTGATTGCAATTTACTTGTGGGGAAAAAGAAATACACATTACTTCGATTAAAGCAGCATTTATTGATGAGATTTATCGGGGGGAAAGGCTTCTATAATACTATAGGCCTATTTTCGTTGGGTTATTCTCACGATAATGTAATGTCCAAATAATATAAATATTTATACTTGGCACATAGCTAAAACACTGTACTTAAAATACAATTAATATTTCTAGTTATCAACAAAAATTGTTTTAAGCATTTTTGTATTTTCCTAAAGTTGTTGTATGTTGACATCCACCATATTTTATTTAACATTTCTAGTGTATTTTCCCCTCACTTATCAAAGCAATGGCAAATACATTTTTGCGAATGCATTTGACTTCACTCACACAGCAAAAAGAGCAAGCAAACTGCATTAATTCACTTTTTTTTATTTCAAAATTCATAAAGAGCATAAAAATTCATGATTCAAAATACTTGGTCCATTTTCTGAAATCTAAAGTACATTAAGAAAATGATTACACTGATGACATGGAATGAATGTGTATTTGATAGCATTTTTGTCAGAAACTGCATGCACAGTTTACTTTTTTTATGGAATATTTGCATTTTCGCAGATGCTTTAAAGCACATGAAATACATAGATTTTAGCATCAAGTGCATTTTCTGGGAATAGTACCAATGACTTTGGCATTGGCTAGTGACATGCTCTACCAGTTGAGTTACAGGAATACAAGTATATTTTGCACATATTTCTAAAAAGCACTAATGTTGAGCAGTGGAGGTGGTCGGCACTGGCTCTGGGGTGATTTGATTAAAGTCTTCTTTAATGTTGTCTAAAACCTCCTGAAATGATTTCTTTTTCCTGTAAGCAGCAGAACTGTTCCTCCACTTTCTCTGTTGCCTTCTCAATTCTAATGGGCTCAGATCTTTAGCGAATTTCACTTTCCCCTGAGATTTTCGTCTTTGATATCTACAAAAATGAGAAATATCAACGAGTCAGTGTCTTAAAAGCTCAATCTAAAGCTGATTTTCACATAAAGACCCCATTTCTAAATACACTGCAACATGTCACATGCAACCTGTAAAGCAGTGGTTCTCAAAGTGTGGAGGCAAGATGATATTATAAGGGAGACAGCTCTTTGCATTATATTATCTATCCATCTATCTATCTATCTATCTATCTATCTATCTATCTATCTATCTATCTATATAACATTACATAATTAAACACAGTGACATAAAGCTAAGAGAACATGCAGTTATGTTGAAAACTTTTTAATTTTTAATCACAGAAAGATGACTGGATTATGGTGGGTTGCATAATTTATTAAAATATTTTTAAAGGGATACCTGACAAAAAAAGAAAAGAAAAGAGAACTACTGCTAAATGGGGTCAGTAAGATTTTTTTTTTAAATAAGTGCTCACCAAGGCTGCATTTATTTGATCAAAAACACAGTAAAAAATAGTTTTCTTGTGAAATATTACTATTTAAAATGACTGATCTCCATTTTATTTATGTGGTTCTTGTACATAACCTTATTCTTGTGCTGCTTAATATTTTTGTGGAAACCATGATACATTTGTATCAGGGTTTCTTGATGAATAGAAACAAGAATATCACCAAAAAAAAGCATTTATTTGAGATAGTAATCTATTTTGTAACATCTGAAATGTCTTTACTGTCATTTTTGATCAATTTAATGCCTCACTGCTGAATAAAAGATTAAAAGTATTAATTTCTTTTTTTTTTTTTATCTCACTGACCCCTAACTTTTAAACGGTAATGTATTTATTAAGAATACATGTTCAGTTGTTACTACACCAATGCATTGGTAATAAAGCATCTAACCTACAGTCACTCCTGAACAGTATAGTTCCTCATGTAAGCTGCAGTATACCTCTCTCTCTCCTTTTTCCTGTATGCATCACGAAGCTCAGGATTCCCGTACACTTTCTGCCTGTGCTTTTGGGTTCTAGCGCTTGCTGCAGCCTTCTTTCGCTCTTCATCTGCCAATCTAAACAACAAGAAAGATTTGACCTTAAAAAAGGAACTATCATATGTATTTGCTTCTTTAGGGCGATGTCCCACAAGCCAACTCAAAACAACTCTATTTTGGTAGGGGATGTCACACCTGCAGACTATTTCAGCTAAGATCTCACCCTTTTCTGTCACATGCACAGGTTAAGAAAAGAAGAGGCTGTAACAGGCTGAATCACTGCCTCTGACTTTGCCCTGAATGAGTGTGATTTTTTTTTTATCCATCCAGGTCTTGCCATAGATTGTGTGTAGGAAAACCTCTGAAAACCGTGTGAAAAAAGTTGCCAGATCCAAATAGGACTTGTTTCAAAAGTCATTTCCTAGGCCACAATTGTCCGACTGAGCAATAAAATCAGACATATTGTCGGAGACCAAGCAGGGCCATTAACACCCACCTGCTACCTGAGAGATAAAAACACAGCTACAAAAACCTACCTGGAAATCTGCTGAAAAACTGGCTAGTGGGATGCCAACCCCTGCGTTCACATGCGTATGACTGAAGGGGAATGGAGTTTGTAGTCAAGCGTGACTGTGACTATAATCATAATATAACAACTTATTGCTTAAATGTACACTACAGTTCAAACTTTTGGGGTCGGTATGAGTTTTTTGGGGAAAAAAATATATATTTAGGAAGGATGCATCAAACATGTCAGTAAATATATTTATAATGTTACAAAAAAATACATTATTTTAAATAAATGCTGATCTTTCTAATAGTCAAAGAATTCTGAAAATGAAAATGTTTTCCACAAAAATATTAAAGGTATAGTTTACTCAAAATAAAAATGTGTCATCATTTACTCACCCTCAAGTTGTTCCAAAACTGTATCAATTTCTTTCTTCTGTTTAACACAAAAGAGTATATTTTAAGGAATGTTGGTAACTAGACAGTTGGCGTTAGCCATTGACTTCCATAGTATTTGGAAGTCAATGGCTACTGTCAACTGTCTGGTTACCAACATTCCTTAAAATATATTCTTTTGTGTTAAACAGAAGAAAAAACTCATACAAGTTTGGAACAACTTTAGGGTGAGTAAATGATGACAGAATTTTTGTTTTTGGGTGAACTATCCCTTTAAGCAGCACAGCTTTTTTCAACATGGATAATACGAAATGTTTCTAGATGACCAATTCAGCCTATCAGAATGATTTCTGAAGGATGATGCTGAAAATTCAGCTTTGCCATTACAGGAATAAATTACATTTTATATTCTATTAAAATATAACAATTATTTTAAAACTGTAATAATATTTCACTGTTTTTTTTTTTATTAAATAAATGCAGCGGTGATCATAAGAGATTTCTTTAAAAAACATTTTAAAATCTTACCGACCCCAAGCTTTTGAATGGTAGTGTATTAATTCAATAATGTTTTGATAAAAGTATTAACATCAATTATGCTTTAACATGAAGTTCTCTGACATAATCTAGCGTTCACATTACTAATTAAAACTGTCTAATGCGTTTATGCGGTTTTGAGAAATATGTGCAAAAGTAAAGAAAGTCATCCGATTTAAATAAGCAACTAACAGTAGTAACAGTACAGCAATATTTATGTAATAGTAAATATGATTATGGTGTGGTTGACCAGGATATGTTCTGATGCATGTGAGAATCACCCAGGATGAGCACTAACCAAAGCATCTGAAAATAAAATATATTTCATTTTTGGAGACACTGTTTTTAGTATAACTGACTGTAGGCAGCCTGAAACAAGAAATTCATATTTAATACATTTGTATTTACATAAAACTTAGTTTAGAGCTCAGCTGACAAGGGAGTGTCACATTTGAGCATTATTAGCATATTACATGTATGTATGACAGGCAAAGGATTTGTGCACACTTCATTTAACTAGAATAAGTCAAGTCAAATCAAAGCAGCACAGATGAAACACTAAAGAATTAATTCAAGTACCTCTCTCTTATCTGAGCCAGCTCCATCCTATGCTGCGTCAACATCTCTTGATTTCTGAGGGGCAGCTGTAAAAACAACGACATCAATCAGCTCACATTTATAGCTAAGTGTCTTACAATTCAATAAAAATAATAGTCCTTTTTTCTCCGAATTTTGAGATATAAACTTAGAATTGCGAGAAAAAATACAGAACTGTGAGATAAAAAGTTGCAATTTAACTGCGAGTTTATTTCACAATTCTGACTTTGTCGCAATTTCCAGTTTACATCTCACAATTCTTAGAAAAGGGCAGAATTGCAAGTTTATATCTTGCAATTCTGATTTTTTTTTTTCTGGATTTTAAGATAAACTCGCAATTGCGAGTTATAAAGTCTGAATTGCTAGATTTAAACTTAAAAAGGAAACATTGAGAAATATAAAATCAGAATTGCAAGAAAAAAAGTCAGAATTGTGAGATAAAAAGTCACAATTAGCTCTTTTATATATATCTTTTTAAATCAGTGGCTGAAACAATATCCCATAGTTTGTTTTGCATACACACAGACTTACATGAAATGCTTGTGTCTTATGTCTGGGGCTAATGTGGCTAACTTTGATTTTGCTGACATCACTGGATGCATCACTGGCCCCTGAATCATCCAAGACGTGTCTTGTGATGTGCTGCTGTGCCTGACAGGTGGTACCTTTTTCAGTATTAGTCTCAGGTTCATTCTTAATTTGAGGTGCTTGATTAATAAATGGAAAAGTATTCTCGCTGCTGTCCATCATTTGTGTTTCAGTGTCTTTGCTGGGCATCTGTTCATGATAAATGTCCATACATGGTGTTAAAGATGCTGATTCGTGGCACACAGGTATTTGCAATTCATTCTCCTCCTGCTGTGTATAAACTTCTAGCTTCATATGCATTTCTGTATCCTTCAAGTCATGTTCAGATCTCCATTCCTCAGAAAATGCCTGGGTGTATTTCTGAGTGTTAGTCTCAGAGGAGCAGGGCTGCAATTCTATAATGAATGAACAAAATAAACATACTTTAGTTCTTAAAGATCCTAAACGGGGAGATCTTGTCATTGTGTACAGTATGCCATGAGTACATTAGCAAAAAATAATACGTGAATAACAAAGAACAATTCATAATAAAAATGCCAAATAAGTGACACAACCTAAACATCTCAATAAGCTAATGTTAATCATGTATACTATTAAAGGATCATGGTTGACTTAAATGGTAATGGTAAAGGAATTAAAGATTTTAACTATCGAGATTTCGTGTTCATAAAAACCATAACATGAAATAAATAAGTATGAGAGTCAGATTTAAGGTGAATTGACAAACCAGAGTCCATCTGAACTCCTGCCTGCTGCAGTCTCCTCTTGAGCAGCTCAATCTCCTGTCTGGAGCGACACATCTCCTCATTATACTCTGAAAATATGTCTTCCACAGCCTTGAATATCTCCTGCGCAGCTAAAGTTAATCGCTCTGTCAGAAAAATGCTTAAAATCTGCAGTTTGGACATTGTGCGTTGATAAATATCACTGAAGTATTTCCACATTCATAACAGAAATTTCTCGTCTATTGTTTTGTTTGCGTCATGCTGCTGAGCTCGGTGATAATCAGCGCCACCTGCCGGTCTGGAAGAACGGACATTGAACAAACTCGGTCCTGGTCACTGCTTAGGCCACTGTCCCGCAGAGTTTAGCTCCCCCAAACCTAATCAAACACACTTAAACCAGCTAATCTTGTCTGCAGGATCACTAGAAGGCTACAGGCAGGTGGATTTTTATCAGGGTTGGAGCTCAACTCTACAGTAGTACAGTGGCTCAGTCTCCAGGACTGAGTTTGCCCATCCCTGGCTTAGGCAGCTGACTTGTTGCCTCGTTGCAATATCAGGCAATGACTTTGCATGCAGTGTTTGCACATGAAGGTACCTTAGGAAAATTGATTTCGGACAGACTTCTGAGGTAGCAAAACGGTTTCATTACCTACAACAAAATAAAGGAGTTTTGGTGATAACTAAGCGAATTGTTACTATAATAATTTCTTCCCAAAAAGTTGGTAAAAAATATACATTTACATACAAACTGACCACCAACCGCAACTTTTAGATCCCATCTTTCTTTTTCAAGCTCAACTATTACAGAATGGAAGCACAGGATTGTGGGAAATCAAAGTCAGCAAAGGATACATCTATGCTGCCATGAGGATAATATTCTGTTTGCCATGGATGCGTGAATGTAACTCTTAAAGGCCCTGAACCTTAAAGGGTTCTGTCTCATAGTACCTTAATGAGCCAATTGTCCCTGAAAATATGAGTTGAATAATTTGCAAGAGAGTGCTTTTAAACTTAGATGAGTTTACCTGTTCAGTGTTATGACGTTTAACGTCCCCAACAATGTCTGTAGTCCCATTTAGGAACTTGTAAACGCTTTTTTTTTTAAATCACGAGTTGGGTATACTGGTGTATTTTACAGAATAAAATCTTGAGTTGTTCATCACAGACCTTATTTCAGGCTTTTAACCAGTCTGATTAAAAAAAATCATTTACTTCGATGATTGGACTTGTTTCTGGGTTTTGGCCAACAAAACTATATACGTCATCCCTAATGGCTGCTGAAAATTCAACTTAGTCAAAAAAATACTTTATAAAATATGTTAAACTAGAAAACAATAATTTTAACACTGTATTTTTAATTTAACAAATGCAGGCTTTCCAAAAACTGTTTTGGTAGAAGTATTGATTTCAATTTTTTTAACATGAAGTTCACATTACAAATTAAAACTGTCTACCTATGCGGTTCTGAGAAATATGTGCAACGAAAAGTCACCGACTGAAAATAGCAACTAATGGTTACAGCTAGTTACAGTACAGGCTTATTTAAGTAATAGTTAACATGCCTTTGGTGTGGTTGACCAGAATATGTTCTGATGTGTATGTGAGAATCACCCAAGATGAGAACAGATCAAAAGCATCAAACACCCTTCACCAGCCACTTAAATTTTATTTGAAAATAAAATATTTCATTTTTTTGGAGAGTGTAGACAGCCTAAAAAAAGAAAGCCATATTTAATTTGATTGTATTTACATATAAACTTAGTTTAGAGAGCTGACATTTAACTAGAATAAGTCAAATCAAATCAGCACAGATGAAACACTAAAGAATTAATTCAAGTAAGTACCTCTCTCAAAAAATCAGACAAAGGGTAATTAAATGTAACATCAAACTCAACACGAATAACTATTGAGAGACAGTCAGTATACACTCCATATTACAATTATGCTTGATATCAACAAAAATGCATTCTTTTTTTATTGTCTTTTTATTGTCTGTTTTTAAACTCCTCTTCATCAACAGAGAATGGATGGTGTCTAATCAAGTTTACAGGTCCATGAAATATATGGACTGTATCCCCTAAGTCAACATCAGGATTCTTGGGCCAGGAAAACAAATTGCTGACTCCACGCGCTCCATCTTCATCCGGACTCCTCTGTCAGTAAGGTTCAAGAACTCCACTTGGGTGGACAGGTGGACATATTCCCTAAGAAATTCCATCTGCAAATCCTGAAATTACACAATAACAAATAATACTGCTTTACTAAGTGCCATATTATTTTTTTTTAAACCTGGGCACCGTTCCAATAAAATCTTTAAGTTCCCAGCCCATTGTCTTCCATTCATTAAATCGTGACCCCTGACTCTGCATTCATAAAGCATGCTTCATGTTAAATCGTCTAATGCTGGGGACACACTTAACCACTAGCTGAAACATTCTAAGACTGAACTGAACATACTTACTGTTTCCAATGACTGGAGCAGATTTTAAACACCGACTGAACGCAACAGTCTCAGACTTGGCGTGTTTGGGCATGATCAGTCGTAAGTATCAAATTACATTCATAATCGGCCTTACAGTCATTGAGTGTGTCCCCGGCTTAAGATGCCAATGGTGATTCAGTACATCAATGGCCTCAACTTTTTCTATTCAACTATAAGTCAGCTTTATGAAACCGGGACCCTGGTATATGGATATAGGACTAATGATTGAATAATAAAGTAAAAAACAATAAAGGATTTTTTTTACCCACCTGCACTTCAATAGGCCTTTCATTGCTTGTTTAATTACTTGTTTCTCGTCCCTTATCTTCTTGAAATAGATCCATTACCAAGTCATCAGTTGGAAGTTCTGAAAGGAGATTAATAGTGATATTGAGAGTAAAGTGACCCGTTTTTCAAAAGTCTGACTTTAAGTTAAAATTGCTACTGCAGCTATATCTAAGTCTTAAATCAGTAGCCTATAGCATTTCAAGACTTAGATATAGCGGCAACCTGGAGTCAGATCTTTTACAACTACAATGAAATAAATAGCTGCTAGCAGCAATTCCGGGGCCAAGCCCCTAATGGTCATTTTTGGCATGTTTGGACATTGGATTTTATTAGGAATCTTTTGAACATTGCACAGATCACATGGTTAAACACTTGCTACACATTGAATTTGATCAAACAATCATCAAAGCTATAGCCTGTTGCTTTAATCAGCATCCCACTCATACAACGGTTTGTTTAATTTTTACAGAGACAGAGTTTTTGAAGGCAGAACCGCAGCTATTGGCTCTAAATTAGGGCTGTCACTTTTGTGAAAAAATCCTGTTCGACTTTGAGACATAAGTGTTCATTGAATCGATTGTAAAGTTGATTTTCCATGCCTAAAGACGTTTCCATTTTAAACACCAAACATAGGCAAATCCACGGACAACTAACAGGCATTAGGACGAACGAAAAGAGGTGCTTGAGACGCGCATAGACAGTAAAAGAAATGGACACAGCGACCCCATAGACTTCAACGGAGAAAAGTGAAGTCAAATAGAAGCACTCACTTCCTGATTGCCAAGTGTACTGCGCATGCTCAAACTGAGCTTGAAGACGTAGTTGTGACGTGAGCAACCTGACTGACAGTTGTACGTCTTCTAGTAGCGGTGCCAAGAGGAATCTGAATCATTCCCTTCCGAATCTTGCAGAGACTAAGAGCGTTAGTAGGAGCTGTCCATGAGCTCGCAGCAAGAGCAACTTTATGACTCTCTATGGGCTTCTCCCTTGACTTTATGCCTCCACGTCCCCCGATTGCGCGTGAGCTTCTACATCTGTCTTTATGGTCATTTCTCTTCAATGCGACAGAGTCGCGTGTTATGACGCAATCGTTAGCCTATTTTTACAAAAACTGCTTCTACGGGGCCACAACGTAAGATACAAGGTAATGGAGCATTTTATACATTGTCGTGTTTCTTTAGAAATAAATAATGGACAAATGGAGTCTTTAAACGTCTCAGATGTAAAGTTATTCGCTGTCAAAGTGACGCAAAAATGAATGGGAGTCAATGGAATGCTAACAGCAGGTGAAGGCTTGTTAGCCAATGGCGGCGCCCGGGGAGACTTCAGTTTCCAGCTGGTGGATTACCCCCTTGGAGACGCGCACAAGTCAGCAATATTTAGTGCACAATGACAAACAGGAGTGCAACATTCAGGGATTGAAATTAACACCCTCCAACCCGCCAAATGCGGGTAAAAATTAACTTTGGCGGGTAATGCTGTCAAATCACTAGATAATTTGGCGTGTTTCTATGTTTACTCCTTTTTTACAGTCTATGGTCTACTCACTTTGCTGGGGAAGTTCGTGTAAGCCAAATCTGCGCGGATTTAGCCCAAATACGCAACTCATGAGTCCTCATGATATATTAAATATAGCGTATTGCGCAGAATCTGCGCATTTCTGGCTTACTTGAACCCACACGTCACTAAGCAAAAAATAACGGCGCACTTGTTCACTTGCATTGAAGTAATAGCGAATATTAAAAAGCATTTGGTTAACAGAAAAGACATTGTTATTGTCATGTTCTGTGTACTGTATTGATCTGTCCACCTAAAACACATTTTTGGTAAAAAAAAAAAAAAAAAAAAGTTCCATAGTTCAAGTGAGAATCAACTCAAATTGAAGATGTTGTATATAAATGCACCGCATGTTATATTTAATAACTTCAGATGAGATCATTCTAAGAAAAACATAATGTCTGGAACAGAAGCAATTTTTGAATCACTTCTGGGATTCTAACCCACGACCTGAAAGGTTCAGGGCTTGTGGCATTACTGATTGCCACTCAGTTGAAACTGGTTCACCAGGCTGCTGAGGAGAGCCTTTAGTGTGAGAATGAGCACACAAGAGCATTATTTAATATTTTAACCAGATTAGCATGCTAAGCTAACTTAATGCTGATGTAGCTTATGGTTAACCTGATAGCTGAAGAGCCACATTAGAAAGAATGGCAACTGGTTAGCATGCTAACCAATTAGCATGCTAAGCTAACTAACATAAAACAACAAAAACAGGGAGGGTCAACTTCGGGGAGATATTTCCTAGGGCAGGGCCGGCTCTAACCCTTTGGTTGCCCTAGGCGATATTGAGTTTTGCGCCCCCCCCATTATAAGTATTTATTAAACTAAACATGCTCTTATAGTTACTCAAAAACTTAAACAATAAATTGTTCAAACAAATGCTACAAAGAACGTTCAAGGATATATCATAGTTGGATTGTACAATATTTTATCTGACCATAAATAACTTTTAGTAGATAAATTACAACTACTACCACACTAGGCCAACTATTATTACAATCTATTGGGCTGCTACAAGGTTAAGGGGGTTTCGGGGGTATTTCCCTGTAAGAAAATTTTGTGCATTTTAATGTTAAATTCATCAATCTGGTGCACTTTGAGAGTTCAAAAATAAAAGCTCCAACCCTTATTCAGTGTGCAAATTGAACAAAGAAAAATTCAAACCTCTTTTAATTACAGTGTCTGTCTACATTACACTACTACATAATAATAGATAATATTAATCCCATGACAGTAATTGCCATAGCCTATATTGTAAAACAAATGCACTGAAAAATAAGGGAAACTTTCATGAGTATTGTACAAATTTCTATACTTGAAAGTAAGTTATATATTTGGAAGTAACCCAGCGCCGCCAATTAAGCAAAACAAAACAAAACGAATGGGCCACCGATGTAGGCCTACGAGTTTTATGGGCCGTTAAGACAAAAATAGAAAAATAAAAGTATGAGATGTATGTATCGGCCCAAAAACCACGTCGGGCCCGCGGGAATCTCCCGGTTGTCCCGATGGCCAGAACATTTGACACCTTAATGGATGAGATGAGAAGACGTACCTCTATACTGGGCTTTCTTCTTATCTTGTTGCTTTCTCCGTTTCGTCCCTGTACACCAGAGGGTTTAGACCGCTTCATTTTCGATCAGCGCGCGCAGCAGCCGAGCACTTGCCTAACGTAACCATAGAACGTAACGTAACGCAACTAACCCCCGCCCCCCCCTTTAGGAAATGATCGACAATAATCATCCATTCAATCTAATAATCAGGTTGACAAGTAATTAAACGTATGGCTGAGGGGCGCCTTAGGATGATCATATTTAATAAACATGTTTTTGTTTCGCTTGTCATTGTAATTCTATGATTAATGGGAAGTAGGCCAAGGGCGACACTAGAGGGCGCCCGCACCCCCAACACATTTGTCGCCCTAGGCAACCGCCTAGTTCGCCTATAGCAATCGCCGGCCCTGTCCTAGGGAATGGTAGCGGAATCTAGAAATCAACAATCTGTTCAGTCATTTCTGATTTTGAACAAAATTGTGCAAAATTTGTAGGAGTAGCAAAAAAAACAGTTTTTTTATTTGCTTCAATATGAAGGACAGTCACATTGTTGTAAAATGAAATGTTGCAAATGTTTTCAAAAGTTATAAGCGTTTTTGCAAAAAAAAAAACGTATATTTCTGGAACACTATGTGGCGCTGTATTCAAACTTCTCAGGTACCTTCAGGACATGCTGATGATAATATGTACCAAATTTTGTGATATGTCAAATCATTTAAAAGATATTGAAATTTATGACAAAATTCCAAATGGCAGCCAAATGGTTCATACGATCCTGGCAAAATCGGTATCCACGGATTCAGCATGACACAAGGAATCCATAGACACATGAATACAAAAATAGCCATTTTTCAGATCTCAAGACCTGTAGGTGGCGCTGTTCCCAAATTTGGAATGGACTCTCAGATCATGGTTCCGGTAAAGCCTACCAATTTTCGTTTCGATTGATCAAAGTTTGGCCGAGATACAGCTTCTGAACCAATTTTGGGTCGACCTCGTTAAGTTCGTGAAATCATAACTTTTAAATAAAGATGAATAAAAAAAATTGGTTCAGTTATTTCTGTGCGGCTCAGTCCAAAGATAAAGTAATAAAGTAAACTTACAATTCCAATAGGGGCTACAGCCCTTTCGGGGCTTGGCCCCTAAATATGCAAAAGATAATTGTCAAGAATACATTGTATGTTTAAGTTGGAGCTATAATCAAATGGAGCCCTTACCTGGGTTAGTAAGTTTCATCCAGAGATCTTCTATTTGTTCACCAGGATGTTGGTCATATTCACTTGTACTTGTAGCAGAATTATCAGGTACGGTGTTCTCATCTTCAGTCACAGGCTGGTATAAATCAACTATTTCAGCATCTGTGTTCAAGGTACGTCGTTGCCAGGAAAAGACATAATTTGAGTTGGAACACTGGCTTCCATCATCAACATTCATACAGCCATCACAGAAGCACGAATACACACGAGTATCCAGGACCCCAGTAGAAACACAACGTACAGAATGGAGAACACGAGTTCCAGCAAGGGCAGACTTCACTTGTGTTATAGGACGGTCACGCTGAATTTCACCTTGTTTAATCAGGTAAAATGTACGGAGTTGCCTATCACAGTCATCTTTTGTCAAATTTAGATTGCAGAAATTATACATCTCCTCTGCATTTTTGATAGTGATCCTATGTGACTGGACAGCACGTTGAACAGATGATTTTACAAACCCAGAGACACCATCACTGGGCCCCTTGCTGTGGTGGGATCCAAAGTAACATCTTTCAACAGACAAACCATGTGAAGCCTTGGAGTTGCTAATGTCAGCAAATGCCACCATTGACTTGTATTGTGCGCCACAACCATTTGTGAATTCAACTACATGCTCTAACTTCAGTCCTCGCTTTTCTTTTAGGTGCTTTATAGCCAGAGTTTCGAAGTGATGAACGGCATTGGTATCATGGTTGAGGTCATCAGAGACAAAAACCAAGGCTTCCTGGATGGTGTATTCATGACCCTCTGTGGGACACTTGTAGTAACAAATAATCGGGTGAACGGTTATCTGCTGTGTGGACCAATGTGCCGGCTGTATTTCGTCTTGGGATATGCACGAGTAATTTTCGGCAAAATCCATGATGAACAGCGACCAAGTGTTAGGCAACTTTTCCCGGATAAGGGAAAACTGTTCATGCTGCCAGTTGGCTGTAAACAAATGTTTAGCCAAAAAGTCTGTTTCGCGCAATAACTCGTCAAACATCGTCTTGAATGTGCCACACTTAGTTGATTGAAACTTCCTGGTCTTTTGTTTACCATCGTGGTTGAAAGCCTTACTCTCCCAATTTTGCCAGGACACTTCTTGTTTGCCATACAAATCTACTACCATTTTTAACTTTTCTTTGAGTAGCGATACACCACAGTCAGAGCAGGTTCTGTTAATGCACTTTAGATTATGGTACTTGCTGTTGCCACTTTTGGGACACAGAGAAAAACTGATAAGTTCATATTTGTTTTTGATCTTGAGTTTTATACACTCCGCATTGTTAGTAGCAGTGAGAATTCTGTTCAGGCTCTGAACCTTCAGTAAAACTCCAGTACAATATTCACAGAGACACTGGTTTCTGTCTGTCCGACGCTGAAGAAGAACACATGAAGGTCGAACCAATGAGAAAACCGGAAAGGACACAATATTCTTTTCTGGATTTTCCAGCTTCCAAAGTTCATAGGCTTCCTGTAGAGAGATCTCCATGAGGAATCTTTGTTCTTGTTTCTTTACAGTCCTCATGTAAGGAAGTTCTCGTGCTACCTTAGGATTACGATAGAAAGCAGTTATATTGTTCACAACATCCATGCAAGTGGCATCAGACTTGGGTTTTTTATGTAAACCTTCATTGGATGAGGAATTTGGTAAATTGGTGAGATATGCTGGACGGAGGTTAAAGCGCCTTGCAACAATATGTTGCATTCTGTACTTTTTGGCAACCATCAAACTAGTGACAATCAGGCGCCTCTTCTCCAAGGATGCAGCATCCTTCTTCTTCTTTAGAGCTTCAATCGTGGATCGAAGTTTTTCTTGAGATGGCTCATCAAAATCTATTCGTCGACAAGCTGTTTTCAGACCTCTGGCTTTTAAAGCTGCTTGCTTACGAGGAGTACAGCGATGGATGAAGTCCAATACAATGTCCGCAAATTTTTCTGCATCAGCCGGAATTTTTTTGCACATCCGTGACACTGCCATTTGTTTTGCCGATTTAGTTCTAAAGCCTGTAGATCCAGCTGTACTACTTGGAGAGCCAACATTTGTTTGTGGAGTGTCAGTTCGCTTTTTTGTCTTGTTTCTTTTTTCCCTCTTTCGGGACGCATCTCTTTCACGAATTAGTCTTTTCTTCAGTTCTCCCATCCTCTCCCTCTCCTCTCTTTTCTTTATCCTATCATACTCTCGTTTCTTCATCCTCTCGTTTCTTGTTAAGAATTCTCTTTTCTTAGGTGGCGGAGGCTCTTTATCAGCTTTACACTGTTTTTCATCTGTTCTTCTACACTCTAATTTCTTTTTGGCTCTGAATCTTCTCTGTCGCTCACGATTATTTTCCTTATCAATTTCTATAGAAGCAGCAGCCCTCTTTCTTCTATACTCCTTTGCTCTGGCAGCTTCCAAAGCTTTGAACTCAGCAAATTTTACAGGATCTTTTTTCAAACGATCCCTCCAGGCCTGACTGTATCTCGCATTTTTGGCTTTCCACTTGTCATATTTTGACACTTCATCCTGACAGACAAACGGTTGACTTTTACGCCCAGAGTTACGGAGCTGGATTGTCAAAGACATTCTGAAATGAAATTTATTACACCATTTAGTTGATTTATTCAAACATGTACATCGGTGGAGGGAGTTATTAAAAAGGTAACATATAGAGAATATACATAATATAATATAAGAGATTAATGTATTTTAATCTATTCTATATATATATATATATATATTATATCACAACATCAATGTCTGTCAAAAAAATAACGTGCACAATACACAGTAGTATTTATGAGAAGCAGAGGTCCAGGTAGTATATATATATATATATATAAACAAACATCAGCATCTGAGAGTCAAATGGAACGACCACAGGGACATATCTCAAGATTACTGAATTATGAAAAAAGGGTCGGTCAGAATGAGTAGTTTGTGCATAATAAATGTCTGTCAAAATATACCGTTTCAATTTCCTGTTTATGTCAGGAACCAACATGTTGAGCAATGTTTACTAATCTGTTGAAGTTTTTCATTTTGATTCTCTTTAGCATGCAGTGTGAAGTATTTCACTCAGTTCCCTGATCTTTCGGATTAAATTTCAGTGAGTAAAAAACTAATTTATACTCAGAAATTTGAAATGTTTGAATTTGAAAACAGATGGATGGTAAGGTAATCATTTTTTTATTTCTTAACCGGTAAATATTCAGTGAATTGACTGATGGCCATGAGTGTGTTATGTCGATGTTTTTAATTCTAATATTCCAACCGACAGCCAGCCTATGTTTTTGACATATGTGAAAACGTATGTGAGGGGTGAACTATGTTTGATCTTTGGGTAATTATAAAACGTTATAAGATGTTAGAAATGTTTTTTGCATGGCTCATTATACTTATTTTACAGAATGAAGTTTATTTCGTGACTGATATGTTTGGATCATTTTTCAAGTTCAGTGTTTTTGATGCACAAAGCTGCTTTTTATTGTCTCTTAAAACAAACAAAAACATGAAAATGCAGATCCTGTTGTAAATAATAGTAAAAGACTAACTGTTGTACTATTATTAACCCTTAACATATTTTGACTCATGTACAACAGTAGAGTCACTGACTGAAATTAGCAACTAACAGCAGTTACAGTACAGCAACATTTAAGTAACAGTAAACATGAATGTGGTGTGATTGACCAGGATGTTTAATTTTTGGAGACACTGTTTTACTGTTGTTGGTTTTTTTTTTTTTTTGTATATCAAATGATTGTAGACAGCCTAAAACAAGAAAGTCATATTTAAGAAATTTGTTTGTATTTACATACAAATTTGGTTTAGAGCTGAAAAGGGAGTGTCACATTGAGCATTATTAGCAAATTACACGTATGACAGGCAAAGGATTTGTGCACACTTCATATAGCTAAAATAAGTCAAATCAAATCAGCACAGATGAAACACTATTCAATTCAAGTACCTCTCTCTTATCTGAGCCAGCTCCATCCTATGCTGCGTCAACATCTCTTGATTTCTCAGGGGCAGCTGTAAAAACAACAACATCAATCAGCTCACATTTATAGCTAAGTGTCTTACAATTTAATAAAAATAATAGGACCTAGTCCTCCACTTTTCTATACAAGCTTGTTTAAGCCACATAATTAAAAAATAAAAAGGTAATTGGGAGTTTTTATCTCACAAATCTGACCTTTTCTTCTTGCAATTGTGAGTCATATCTCTTTTTTTTCTGAATTGTGAGATTATAAAGTTATACAAGTTATAAACATTGTGAGATATAAACTCAAACTTTGAGATAGCCTAGTCGCAATTTACTTGCGAGTTTATATCTCACAATTCTGAGAAAAAGTCAGAATTCCAATAGTTTATATCTCGCAATTCTGGCTTTTTTCTCTGAAGTTTAAATTGCTCGATTTAAACTTGCGAAAAAAGTCAGAATTGTGAGATAAAATGTCACAATTACCTCTTTTATGTATATTTTAAAACAGTGGCGGAAACAATCTTCCATAGTTTTGTTTGTTTTGCATACACACAGACTTACGTTAAATGCTTGGGTCTTATGTCTGGGGCTAATGTGGCTAACTTTGATTTTGCTGACATCACTGGATGCATCACTGGCCCCTGAATCATCCAAGACATGTCTTGTGATGTGCTGCTGTGCCTGACAGGTGGTACCTGTTTCAGTATTAGTCTCAGGTTCATTCTTAATTTGAGGTGCTTGATTAATAAATGGAAAAGTATTCTCGCTGCTGTCCATCATTTGTGTTTCAGTGTCTTTGCTGGGCATCTGATCATGATAAATGTCCATACATGGTGTTAAAGATGCTGATTCGTGGCACACAGGTATTTGCAATTCATTCTCCTCCTGCTGTGTATAAACTTCTAGCTTCATATGCATTTCTGTATCCTTCAAGTCATGTTCAGATCTCCATTCCTCAGAAAATGCCTGGGTGTATTTCTGAGTGTGAGTCTCAGAGGAGCAGGGCTGCAATTCTATAATAATTAAACAAAATAAACATACTTTAGTTCTTAAAGATCCTAAACGGGGAGATCTTGTCATTGTGTACAGTATGGCATGAGTACATTAGTAAAAGATAATACGTGAATAACAAAGAACAATTCATAATAAAAATGTCAAATAAGTGACACAACCTAAACATCTCAATAAGCTAATGTTAATAATGTATAGCAGCTACTATTAAAGGATCATGGTTGACTTAAATGGTAATGGTAAAGGAATTAAAGACTTTAACTATCGAGATTTCGTGTTCATAAAAACCATAACATGAAAGAAATAAGTATGAGAGTCAGATTTAAGGTGAATTGACAAACCAGAGTCCATCTGAACTCCTGCCTGCTGCAGTCTCCTCTTGAGCAGCTCAATCTCCTGTCTGGAGCGACACATCTCCTCATTATACTCTGAAAATATGTCTTCCACAGCCTTGAATATCTCCTGCGCAGCTAAAGTTAATCGCTCTGTCAGAACAATGCTTAAAATTTGCAGTTTGGACATTGTGTGTTCATAAAATATATCAAGCTCGTATTTCCCAGGTATTTCCACATTCATAACAGAAATTTTTCTGTCTATTTTGTCTATTGTTTTGTATGCGTTAATCCTGCTGAGCTCGGTGATAATCAGCGCCACCTGCCGGTCTGGATGAGCGAATATACAAACCTGATTTTTCTTATCCTTACAAAAAAAATGTAATAATTTAAAATAAATTCGTTAACGCTTTTAGATTACAGCCCGGAAAGTACTGTGTAATTAAGAGGAATTTACAGAGTAACTTTCGGTAGTTATAGTGTACCTATAAAGTACTTGCATGTAAGTAAGGGAACAATATGTAAAGTTTGGGGAATAAAGGGGTAACAACCAGGAGAATTAAAAAAATATTTATACTGTAAGTATTATAGAACTAAGGGGTACTTATTCTACTATATGATACAACAATCTTACATTTGGGAGCAATTTAGCGAGAACATACACTGCATACCTTTTTGTAATAATTGTGTACCAAGGCAATACATACTGTATAGGCTTTTTAAAAATGACAGGGTAGGCCTACATATCTATGCATTTATACTTTTATTATATATTTTTTTATAGCAAAAGTGCAGATGTTTGTTTGGGCTAACATGTTTCAAGGCAAGAAAAGCTAAGACTATTGCAATTTTTTTAAATACTGGGAAATATATCTTGTTTCATGTGGTTACAGGGTAAGTGGTGCTTGTATAATAAATAAAGGTTTCCGAGTCAGTGATATAAGATTGTGTGTATTTTTATTGTACTTACCCTGTAACTACATGGAACAAGAGGGTAACAAGCTACATGAAACAAGAGTATCTTTCCCCAATATTTAAGCAAAAGTTGCAATAGTTTTCGTTTTCAGTGCACTTTTGTTAAAAAGATTACATTTAAAAAATCACAGGGTACATATCTATTATATCTATTTATAAAGCCTATACAGTATGTACTGGTTCACCATTATTTCAAAAAGGTACGCAGTGTATGTTCTTGCTAAATTGCTCCCAAATGTAAGATTGTTATATCATAATAGTAGAATAAGTACCCCTTAGTTCTATAATACTCACAATATTAATAATTTTTTAATTCTCCTGGTTGTTACCCCTTTATTCCCCAAACTTAAAATATTGTTCCCTTATACTTATATTGTAAGTACGTTATAGGTACACTATAACTACCGAAGGTTACGCTGTAAAATTGCTTTAATTACCCAGTACTTTCCGGGCTGTAATCTAAAGCGTTACCATAAATTCGTTATTTGACAGTTGCTAAAGGCAAATTGCAACTGTTTAATTTTAGCATTTTATTACAGCTTTGTAATGCAATATGATCAGCCTATAAAAGTTCAAATATCATATATACCCCTCAACAAATTCAATTCACATCCTTTCACCAAAATAACACTCACATCCTTCTTTCTCCCTAAAATAAGGATCACTTTCTGTTACCATGGAAACAGCAATGTAACTCTTAGAAGAAAAGGTTCTAACGTCCCCAACAACGTCTGTAGTCCTATTTAGCATCACCGCCTTTTTCAATTCAGCTTTATAAAATCACGAGTGGGGTATACGGGTGTATTTTTGGTCATAGAATAAAATCTTGAGTTAGTGTTCACCACAGACCTTTAGGCTTTTAACCAACATCCCATTCAAAAAAACCCATTGACCTCAGGACGATGGGTTTTGGCCAACAAAAATATGTCATCCCTTCAGCACTCTACTGAGTCAAGAACCCTATGGGTCTATAACCCCATTTAACCTTTTTTCAAAGGGTGTTTAATGATGGTATTTGTTATGAAAAAAGGACCCAAAACACATTAAGAAACTATTATGCAGTAAAAAAAAAAAAAAAAAAAAAAAAAAAAAAATTATTCCCTCAAATAGCTTTCAAAAGTCTTTAGAAACAGCTTTACAAAACATCAACATCAAATATTAGAAACCAACCTCAAATACCCAAATATTAATACTGAACTTAAAAAAATATATGATCAATAAGTTATGATAACATGATCATAAAGCACATTGCTTTAACTCATCAAAATTAAGATTAAGCAATCTTCAATTAAATTAAGCAATTTTAATTTTAAATTAAGAAATTAAGCAATTTTCAACATTTTTTATAGAAGTTATACAAGATTCAACTCATTGTTTATAGTCAATTTAATGTAATTTAAGTTGAAATGACTTAAACATCTAAGTTGACTGTACTTAAAAATGTAAGCAACTTATTTTTACAGAGTAATATCAGAGGAGAATAATTACACATATGGTCAAACGCACATGGCCCTTGGAGTGTGTGTGCGGTTAAGAGCAGATTTACAGTGCTGTGAAGAATAAGTCATTGTTTGACAGGGCCAGCTGTCAGCTCCACTCTTCCTCACGACAGGCCTTGCCTGGCCACCTGCCTACTATTCTCCAACTATGGTCACAAACTCTCTCCTCAGACCACCTCAGATTAGTGCCAAAACACATTACTTTATTGCTAATTGACATTTTGTATTGTTCAGTATAAAAAAAAGTAACCAGTTGCTCTTCTCAAAGAATCAAATATAATGGTTTAGATAAAACACCTTAAATCAATCAATTATTTTACATGACTTACAGAATGTTTTATCGTTCAAAGAGTTTGGGGTCAATACGATTTTCTTAAAGGAAATTAATATCAGCAAGGATGCAGTAAGTTGATCAAAAGTGACAGTAGAGACATGCGTAAAATGCAACAAAAATTTCTATTTGAAATAAATCCTGTTTTTTGTAAATCAAAGAATGCTGAACGGTTGTGTATCATAGTTTCCACAAAAATATTAAACCGCACAATCGTTTCACAATATTGACAATAATAAGAAATGTTTCTTGAGCAGCAAATAAGCATATTCGTGATTTCTGAAGGATCATGTGACACTGAAGACTGGAGTATGCAGAAAATTCAGCTTTGGCATATACAGTTTTAAATATATTTAGATAGAAAACAGTTATTTTTAATTGTAATTTTAGATTTTTTACTGTATTTTGATCAAATAAATGCAGCCTTGGTAACTATAAGAGAAACATTCTTACCAACCCCAATAGTATACAAATTAAACCTAACGAGAAATGGAACAAATTACAATATGTATGCACTAGGACAAAAGTATACAAAAGTATATGTATACAAAAGTAAGTAAAAAGAAAAATAATACTTAAATATTCAAAAAAAAAAAATTAATCTGAGGCATTTATTTATATAGCGCATTTAACACATTTCATAGTGGATCAATAAATAATCATTTTAAAATCATCTATACATTTTAATCTATCACAATATACAAATTTACTAAAACTGCTAAGAATGCATCTTAAATTAATGTTTCTTAAAAATTATCACTGGATAATAAAGTTGTTTTTGATCACATGTTGCATCAGCATTGCAAATCAGTCAGAACTCGGTTTTTAAAACACAGCGATCCAAACAAGATTGAGAAAAAAAAAAAATAATGCCACTGTGCTGGCATGAACATGCCACAGACATGTCAGCACAACTACAACATAACTGTCATTCTGCGTCGTCCCAACGCCCCACAAAAACACTCTGCAACATGCCACTCTAACCGGCGGCTCCTAAAACACAGTTCTGTCGTAAACAAGCCTTCATGCTTTCAAACACGGAGAGTAGGAAGGTTGTGTTATGTTTATGTAGGAAGCTGCCTTGACTGGAACCTGTCTTTGTTTATCAAGTCACTGAAGTCAGGGATATGCCTGGTATCTGTGCCACTTTCCTAGATTTGCATTCCAGTGACTGGGATGTTTACACTATTCCGTTTATGTCTCTTCAAGTAAGAGTAACCGTATCTGCATCATGGGCATTCTCACCCCGTCTTCAATGTTGTCTAACTATTTGGTCGCTCCAGAAACCGAAGCGCTAAATTTGTGCTCCTGATGACATGGGAGAAGGTCACTGGAGCCCAGAGTCAGATATAAACAGTGAGGGACGAGCAGAGAAGCTTGTATAGGCCATATTTTTACTCGCAGATAAAGCCTGGGACGGGGCTCAACTTTCCTTAACGTCCCAACTGGAATCCAGACATGGAAGACAAACAAAATTAGGACCATTGCCGACATAGTTTCCGCAGAGAACATTTGAACGGGGTCCCATCCCTGCCCCACCTTTTCGAATGGATGTCATATGATCACAAATGTTTGAATTGAAAAGCGTTGCGATTTCCATGCATTCGTCTGTGGAATGATCGCCGTTAACTGCTGAGAATGAAAAATATGCACGTCTTTGAAATCTATATTTCGAATTCCAAATACTAATATTAGGTCCACAAACTGCAGAGAAAAGGTACACTGTAAAAAATGATCGTGATTTTAACGGTAAAAGACTGTAAAAATGCTACAGTGCAAAACTGTTAATTGGTTAACAGAAAGTTTCCTTACTATATACGGTAAATAACTGTGATAGATCTAACGGTACATTTAATGTAATTTTACTGTAAAATACCGTTAAATTTACAGTTTTTGAAAGAGAAAAGAACAACTCATTGTATAATTTACAGTGAAAAGCCGTAAATTGACATTCCCACAATTCCCTGCATGACACTTCACATTTGATTTATTTTTGTTGAAATAACTATGTTTCTTCTTAGTTTTCTTAGTTATTTTTCTAATAAGTTATGTACATTAGGGTTTTATGTTACATTTAATGTTGTTAAATTAATGTTTATTGCATTTTTTAAATTTCATGTGTGTTACCATGATGGTGTTTAATGTTTGTGCGAATAACACTGTGCAGCTTCAATATAATAGTATTAACTTTCTTGTGGAAGATTGCTTGTGATCACTGCTATGACAGTTGTTGGTTGTCAGTGTATTACAATGGTACAAAACAGATATTAATACTTCAATAGGTTGGTAAATTATCATTATATCGGATAATGAATTACGGTTTAATACTGTAAATTTTACGTTAAGTCTGTAAAACCAAAAACGTTGATACCGTATTTTTAACGGTAAAGTTCTGGTAACCACAGCTGCCAGTT